ATAGAGTTATAGAGCTGACGATAAAGTAAGGTTAGAGCAGCCGTGCAAGAATGGCTGCCTCGAAACGGCCCGAATATTTTACGGCGCCCTCATCAGATTTAAAACTTTTTTCCTGTTTTGGAATAAACTGCTTGAGGAGAACGAATTCACCTAGGCAAACTTGCAGAAACGGGAGAAATATCTGCGGTGCAGAGTGGCTACCGGGTGGAGGAAATACGTTCCAAGACGCGTTACCACCGAGAATATTAAATACACCGAGAAATGTGCGTTGATTAACGGTTGCTATTCCAATCGTTAACTATGTTGGTAATTAGAAATAGCGTTCCCCTATATTGCGTATCTGGAGATTATCGGACAGATGATTTTCACTGTATTTCCACTTGACATTTTTATTTCTCCCGTCGTATAATGAACAAATGCGCCGGCAATTTTTCCATTGGGGTTGGAAAAGTAAATCCGTCATATTTATTTTTATCGAATGTACAGAAATAACGGGGAATAAGCGAAATAAAAGGGGGATTGCTGTTTTAGGAATTTTCCTTCTTCTTCGACTCTGTCGTAAGTACGAGAAATAAAGATCGAAATTGAATAACAAACGTTCGTTTGTTTTCCCTGAATTTTTTCGTTACAAATATTTCACATATTTTATGCTGTATAAATTTACGCTTGGACAACTTTTCACCTGCAATCGACAATTTTATTTTCTATCTTTCGCCAATGTTTGCGTGTTTAATTGAATTACGAAACTGGATCAAATTGCGTAACGTTTGTTGACCTTTTATCGCGGGATTTATTCTTGAGATATAAGTTTCATATGTTGTAGGTGTAATCCTTTAAGGAGGAGTAATCGCTCCGAATGCGTTAGATTACGTTAATAGTGTAGGATGAGGGAAGCGCAATTAATGGTAGTTTAATAGTAATATATAGAACTTAAAGGAACGTGGACTTATGCAGAGGGCAAGATTACAGTGAAAATCTTTGTTCCCGGTAATTCTACCTGTACTTTATTCAACCTTGCTATTTCCATTCGGTCTTATCTACTTATTTTTCTTACGTTAGTCGAGTTTCTCGAGTGAATTTCACTTGGGAAAACATGCCGCGTTTGCGCAATGTATATCTTCAGGTACACACATTTCGGAGAATCGAAAAGTACCGCATGTAAAATTGATTTTTTTCCTCGAATGTTTGCTCAAATTAAACGCGACGTAAAATTGAAACCGTAATTTTTCATATTTCGCGGTCTCGACTCTTCTTATCTGCGGGCTATTTTTATTCGACGATCGTGAATATCGTATAAATTATTTCCGAACTTTATATCACACGTGGACCTTCTCGCCTGGCGTTGCTCGTCGAAATGACCAAAGTTAGAAATTACATTTCGCAAAACGAGCATTCGTACAAGCCCAGATAGGACGTTCTTTTTATTGGAAAACCATTCGAGGGATGGGAATAGGAGGGAACAAAGAGGGTAGGGTTAAGAGTGGACGTGATAATTTTATCGGTATCGAGCAAGCAACGGTTACGTTACAGTTCTTGCACGTTTACGCACGCACAAGAAAGAGACCGAAACTGATTTGTCTGTTAGCTGCTTAAAACGAAAGCTCTAATCAGCAGCTAATTTTCTCTCGTTTCCCCTCGTTCAATTTCATCGCGTTGCGAATTTATCGCATCGCGATTCGATTTTCGTTCGTACGTCTCGAAATTTTTTCCCCGTTTAAAAAGCTAAATCTCGTTATATCCTTATTTCGCTCCCTTCCCGATGTATCGGGGTATTTCAGTTTCCAATACTCATAAGTGCATTAACTTCACATCGAAGGAGGTATCCAGGATTTTTCTCCCGGCTCTGACTTTTGTATTCGATCCGGCGCGGCGCGGCCCGGTTATCGAACGATTTAACCGAGTAGTATAAACGACCAAGAGAACAGTTACTTGAGAGGTTATTTCTGGGTCGAATCAGACTCGATCAGTGACCACCGCTGATACCCTCTAATGTATCTTCTCCAACATATACATATCCCCATATATCCAGCGAGATTTTCTCCCTTTCCATACACGATCGATCTTCCGGACTGTACAAATACTAGGTGAGATTCCAAAACTGTTTTCCTCCCCTCCCCCCCAAACAAAAAAAAAATCAATATACAAATATACTACACAACGAACAACGCGATTCCCCGACTGATCTTTACAGCGAAGAGAAGAAAAGGTTAAAACGTTTAAAGATGTATTGACCAGTAGTGGGAATAACGAGAAGCGATTCTCGATGCTTCTTTTATCTCTTGTCCCATATCTAGTCGTAAATATCGCCGGTCCCGAAGCCTTCCTTGTACATCTAGGCACGTAGACGCACGTGTACAGACCGCGTAGGTGTATTCAGGTGGTAACGTTCCTTCAACAGTATGCAGTCCGGTATACAGTGATAACAAAGCGCATGAGTGTTCGTCTATGACTACGGGACAGTTAGAGAGGGAGAGAAAGAGGAGAGACAGGTTGACGGGGTAAGAGCACAAGCGAGAGATAGAAAGAGAGAGGTTAGGTTGGCGGATAGGAAAGAGAAAGAAAGAGAGAGCATAGTGCAACGGTTGACCCCGGTACACGGGGTCATTCCCTTCTTCAACCACCACCACCCCAACCCCCACTGACTCCGGTTCTACCGCTCACCTACCGTCCCTACTACTGCTCCTCCACCCCTTCTCATCCTCGTATCCTCCACCAACGCTGCTACCATCACGACCACGCAACTCCACTCTACTCTCTCTCCCTCTCCATCCCTCTCTTGCTCTCTCTCTCTCTCTCTCTCTCTGTAGCTCTCCTCTTGCTCACCCAGCCAGCGATGTAGCTACGAGGTGCTACGGGAAGGTAAACTCTCGTGCATACGTTGGCTGACAGAGACGATCTCAGGCGAAGCTCCACCTAGATCTTCCTTTGCCTGTCAGTCCGCTGGACAGGTAATAACTTACGAGATATTTGATTTATGGTAATGTTGATAGTGACGGGTTCAAGCGTGTATCGAATGGTCAGGATGCCACGTTGCATCGAGTTAATGATCGAATATGTTTTATATATCGCTTGGAGAATTTGCTTCGCCTTAGACGGATACTGTATGTATATATGCATTTTTTTTTTTAATTAGACGATTTACACGACGATTGCACTGAATTATTTTCACGCTCTCCGAGGATAGACACGCTGCGGGGATTGGTTTTTTTTTATTGATTCTGCTGGAGGAATTGATGGGGAAACGGCGTAGAAAACCGAGGACAAGATTAATAGGAAAATCTCCGAGGATTTGCAGTCCTAGAGATTACACGGATGAAATTTGAATGTAACAAGAATTTATGTTGCCGCGTTATTTATTGCAAGGGTGACTAGAGTTCGAGCATGCAGCTTTATTTATTCGCCGCCGGTGTATTGACGATA